AAATGAAGAACACAAAGATTTTATGTGGAAAACATCTGGCTCAAAAGGTGAAAAAGCCATGACCTACTACTCAGTAGAATTTTCCCAACACTTCACTAAATCACTGAGCCAAAACAATATTTACAAAACTCATGTAAACCTAATGATTACCTCTAATCCCATTGTAGCAACCAACCTCTAACTGTTGCGACAACTTCAAGTTAACTCTAACTTGAATACTCAAAGTAGCTATTACAATTGCTTCTAGATAATGCTGAAAGGTACAATATGAAACACCTACTACAATTGAACTAGAAATAAAGAAAGACACCTAAAACTCTTTATGGAGCTGGTTCTTCAATCTGGTTTATGTAGCTTCAGGTTTGTACACTTGTATCACACACGAACTGCTTGCAAAAAGCCTTGCTATTTTGTTCTTAATTCACGTTTAACTTCTGCGTTTTTGTGCAACACATGAACTGTGAGAACATCCTTCAATTTATAGAATTAGTAGATGAAGAAATAACTAGAGTTCTGATGCAACTCTTCCTTGGTGGAAGAGTTATAGTTGATCTCAACTTCTAACTCCTTCCCTATCTTAGATAATCTTCTCTTTGAGTAAGAAGTCCTTCTCCTTATCAATTATGCAAGCTTTTAGATCAGGAGATAATAAATACAACAAGTTAAGCTTATCTCCTTCACGTGCATCCACATGCTTGAATCTGCCCGTTTTTGTGCACCTAAGGAATTGACCTGATTCATGCCTGAGCTTCCTTTATCAATCTTCAAAACTAACCTTCATTTGGGCCAACAACAACACATAGTAAATGAAACTATTTACCTAAAAAAAAATACCACTAACCCACTGTTTTAAGTTAAATTACATTGATGATTTGAAATTTGTTTGTTATATGCTTTTATATATGAGTTTTATTATCTTTTACTTTGCTTTTTTTTAACTCGCTATGAACTGTTTCACGACTTGTTTTTTTTTCTAATGATCTCTGTAGACATGATCTTCTTAATTACTATATTTTACCTATAAAACGCTACAGTTAAATTTGTAATGTGATTTATTGACAAGTGAATCGATTTGATCCAAAAAATATAAAGAAATAGAACAAAAATAAGGTTAGCAATTGAAAAAGAGAAAAGCAAGCCAAACCTTGAACTCGGTCTTTTCGAAAGCCAAAGCGGAAACAAAGATAAGGCAATGATAAATATTCTTTAGATTGAGATAGAATAGTATGCTATAACTTTTGTGTATACAGATTTTTTTCTTTTCCATACAAGAATTGTCAATCTGATATTTATAGCTATCTTTAGGGGACAAGATCTTAAAATCAAGCTTTTCTTGAATGAGAATAAAAATGTCATTGATGAGTGCATAACGGCTGACTTTGAATGCAGATATTCTCTTCAACGACTGCTCATTAAATATCATCCGATGTCAAGTCTTTGGGTCATTGTCATCGATTATGCTTCCTTCGGGATTCTTCCTGTATTGGTTACGTATTTCGTAACCGATATCAATTATTTGCCGACTCAACTTTTGTTTGGTATCGGTTCCACGCGTCACCTCGCTATTTAGCCACATGTAATCAACTAATTTCACCCATACAATATTCAATCGTATCTTTCGCAGCACTATCTGTGTACATATGAAGTTGTTTGTTAAATAGAGTAATATATCGTAGTGCTAACTAATTGTTTAGTACAATGGTATGCTATGTCCAGTGCATATGTTTGGCTAATTGGATGAATGATGATCAACCTTGTTTACTACGTAAAGTTTAATCCTATAGGTATGGCAATAATAATAATAATAATAATAATAATAATAATAATAATAATAATAATAATAATAATAATAATAATAATAATAATAATAGTTGTTTTTAATCTAAGGTGAATCTAATTAAAACTCATTCTCCAATACTTATTGCAATATACATTTAACATTTTTTCAATCCTAGAAGTTTCTTTTATTTCATTAATATTTTTTTCCTTAACAGATACTTACTACTTTGCTATCAGTTTATTGACTTCTAATCTTGCCTTTTTATTCATCAAACTAACCTGCATTTATATTTTCACGATTCGACTTAAAAAGTTAATATTAAAGGAAGAGGACCACTAAGCCTTTTAATTTCTTTTCCTTTTTTTGACAGCTATGTTGGACGAGATAAATCTCAGTGTTTTCTGAAAAAAAGACACTTTTGTAACATTACGGTTAGCAAGGTAGTGAAGACGCAACTGGAATACAAACCTATTATTAAAGGTTGTGGTGTACAAAGACGTAGCTAGAACTTCAACTTTATGAATTATAAATTTTAGAATAGTAACATTAGGTGCTAGTACTAATTTTTTAATTTAATTTTTGTACATGTTATTTACCCGCAAAACGGTACAATTAAATTTATAACGTGGTTTATAGACAAGTGAATCGATTTGACCCAAAAATACGAAATAAATAAGAACAGAAATAAGATTATGAAATGAAATTAAAGGAAATACAAACCTGACTATGAACTTAACCTCTCCGGTGGCAAAAGTGAGAACAATATTGAAGAGTATAAACTGAGAATAGTGTTATAAAATGAGAGCAGAATGTAACATTTGTGTACAGAATATTTCGTGTCTATAAAGGATGTTAATCCTCTTATTTATAGCTTTATTTAGGGAGACACGATTCCCAAATCAAACTCCTTTTGAATGAGAATAAAACCGTTATTGATGACTGCATAACTGTTGGCTATAAATGCAGATATTCTCTGTAATAGCCGCTCATTGAATACCCGATGTCAATACTTTGAACTTTTGTAGTCGGCTACTCTGTCTTCAAGACTCATCCAACACTGGTCATATGCTTGCAACCGGTATTGACTATTTACTGACTCACATCCTACCTAACTTCAGCTCCACGTGTCATCTCTTCAATTGTCCAACTGTCACCAACCAATTTTACCATATACACATGTTTATTGAATTTTCTATATAAATATAAAATTTGGACTAAAACTATGGAGCTCGGGTAAGCCCGTATATAGGCTTCTAGCTCCGCCCTTAGTGGTAATTAATTTTCATTCTTAACTAAATATTTCGGGTTCGAGCCTTGTGTATATAAAATGAGACGCTTTACCCTCTCAAATAAGATGTAACGACATAAATTTAAATTAGTGAGCCCAAAATAAGTATCATACATGGATTGGAAACTAAAAAACTAGAATACAAAAGTTGGTCGATATCAAGCATTGGTGTCTAAATGAATAGTTTATGATAAAATTATGGGCATGTTATGTTATGTTAGATAAAAGTCATAGACACATAGGTACGTATCTTTCAGAAGGCAGAGTATGAGCTGGAGTGGATGGACTAGAACCTCAACTAGTGACTGCCGGTGGTCCATATAATCCCTCTATACTCGGATACAGCTCACCCCCCTACTTTAGCTTGTGCTACAAGCGTGCTTTCATATGCTTCTTTCTTTCTGCCTAAATTTGTCATTTAGATTTTATTTCACCAAAAACAAATACAATTTTACGTAAATAATGTCCATCTATTATCTAAACTCAACTTACATCTCAATTTAATATGAGATTGTAAAAGTTTTAATGTTTTATTTTTAGAGATGAATTCAAAATTTATATTTTATGAGTTTAAGTTTATTTTGTCACTAACATTTGATTTGTGAGTCTTTTAGATGCTTAATATGTGCGTACAAACTCAGGAGCGAAAGTAGCCTTTCAGCTACAGGTTCAACTGAATACATGACGTTCGATACAGAGTATAAATTTATATGTAAAAATCTACTAAAATCTCAACAAATATTAGATTTGAACCCATAATTTTAACATCACAATAAATTTAATTTTCTAAAATAATTAAGCTATTAAATTTAAATCCTGAATATGCCTGTGTGAAGACTAAAAGTTATTTGGTGTGACCTTAAAAGCTGCATACACCATTGATGGACACACTATTTAAAGTTAATTTCATCTATTATATTGACATTATTCGTTTAGTTATTAGTAGTAACAAATTACTATATGTCTTCCTTTTAAGGTAAATACTTCAGATTTATTAAGAACAATTACGTGATATAGCATAGTAAAAGTTGAATTTATGTCTTTGTTTAATTAAATTTTGAATTGTTTTTATATTTAAAAACGAAATGCAGATGTTTTGGAACTCTCTAATATCTTGCCTTATAAGTGACACCTAAATCGAATAATTTTAAAACCCTTTCATTCTGGTCTCCCTCTCCCCCACACCCCGCACCCCCCCTTCCTGACGCTCCACTCTGTCACCAACTCCTCCGTCTCCACTTTCTGTCTCCGGCCATTTACTTTCTCTTTCTACAACTGAATTTCTCTTTCTAAAACTGAATTTAGAACTTTCTAGATCCTATATTTTCCTAGCTGAATAAAATTCTCTATCTATTTCGTATTCAGTGTTACCGAAGCTGCATTGTTGTTTGGTACGTATGTTTTCATAGAGTTCTGATACTTTTCCGTGAATTTTACTTTCAACTGTGATGGCGTCATTGATGACTTTAATGTCACCATTTTGCTTTGGTTTTTAGTGTTGCGAAAGCAATGCATTTGTTTTGTTCCCATTTGAGTCTCTTCTTTGGCAAAGTTCTCCTCTGCCTCTTTCTTTCTCTCCTTTCCTGTCGGTGCCTGAACTATTTCCTCATTACTTGAATTCCGGTTCTCTGGTTCAAAACACAGTAGTAATTTTTCCATCTCTGCATTTGATTGCCGAATGTTTCGAGCTTAGATATATGCATACAATTTTGGATTGAGGCTTTGTTGCTGTTGTTTTATCTGGGGTGCAACTAGGGAGAGATATTTGCCTGTTGTGCAATGCGTCCCTTTTGTTTTAGGTGGAGGGGATGATTTGGATAAATAGAACTAACAAAGTGGATTTGCCCGAAATGGTCGGATTCATAAAATGGAGCTTGACTAGTTTTGGATTGAGGTTTTGTTGAATTTTGATTGACGGGATGATATGAATTTTCCTTTAATATGATGAATTTTTTTGCTCAAAGAGCTTTTCACCTCTTTTTCTGATTCATTTGGTTAAAACTATTGAAGCTTCGTTTTTATTTTATTCATTAAGAGAATGTGATTATTTAATTTAAGAAAGAGACAAAATGTTATAAAGAAGACGTAAGGGTGTATTATGCTTTACCAATGCAGATGATGAGAAAACTGATTTTGGTTATATTTATTCTTACTTTGGGAGTAATCTTGTTAAAATATGATAATGTGCTATTCATGTTAGTTTCTATTGTTTCTGGTGGTCCATCGTTGTCTTTATCTACCCCTTTGGCTACTTTTATATTGTCTGGGGTAGCTTTGTGCAGTATAATTGCCTTTGCTGTGGAATACATTCCCTCATCCTTTGATGTGAAAAATTTCCATTAATGTCCCACTTTGATCCTCAGAGTCAGTTGTCCTTGAAGCTCTAGGATTTGAGCTGTTTTGGATCTCTCAGGTGGCAGATTCTCATATTATGTGTATTCTCTTTCAGTCATTTACTTGTAAAGGACTTGGTTAATCACTCACAATCGCTTTTTCACCCTCTGCTCTGATTTTATCTGTACTGAAAGTGCACTGGAGCTGTATTCTTTTTGAGGTGGTATAATAATCCTGCACTCCAGTGTCATTTCTCAGTTACTTTCTATTTTGTTAGGGGCGCAGGAAGGAATTTTCCATCTTAGTGAATAGAGTTCCTCTATGAAGTTAACCTGAAATTTGTCCGGTATTTGTAAATTTTAGGTTTCTAATGTGTCTCTGAGCTAGAGTTGGTGATATCATCCTGAATGTTCCTTAGTTTACTCAATCAATTAGGAGGGCGGTTTTCGCAAAAAATCGTTTTTTGTTCAGGAAACTCGGAATTCCTGGGCTTTGAAATTTATGTGGTACATGTGCAATGTCATGTTTTAACCACTGCTGAAGCATTTCGTATAAAATCTGCCACCAGTTACCTCTCGGGTTTGATGTAACCGAGGCAGTTTCAGTTATTAGGCATTTTTGCAATTTCGAGTTTATAAGTTCTGACTGTCTTCTTCTCTTTTCTTATCTAATCCTTTAACTGAAATTTGGTCACAACTTCTTTCTGATACAGTCTTCAATGGATCGTCGGAGTTGGCCCTGGAAGAAGAAATCATCAGATAAGGCAGCAGTTGAGAAAGCTGCAGCTGTTACAATAGCCTTAGCCTCTGATCCTTCAGATTCAACCGAGTCTCAGGGTGATCAGGTATGTTAGTTGATATTGATATAAATATGGAGACGATACACAGAGACCATCCACATGTTCATTTCTCTTCTAGCTCCTTTGATCATGAAAGTCCCTTTTCTTCCCATCCTTTGTGATCATAATAGCTATTAGACTGTGTAGTCCGAAGCCCTTATTGGCAACTGGTGAATGCACAAATATGTTCCATATTTTGACTATTTGCGAACATTTGATGAGAGGACTTCAATAATATTCGCTGGTCATTTTTTGCTGATTATAGCAAAAAACTCCATCTATCTGAAGTCTAAAAACATTTGGTCTAGATATGATGTTTAGTCCTATGCTTTCCTTTAACTAATATTAAGTTTTATTAGTTTTTAAAATTTGGGAATTCTTCTCTACATTGCCATCTGCTTGGTGCTGAGAAAACGAGTAATAGTTTAAATTGGTTTTCATAATGATACATCAATTAGAATTGCAATAAATATTTGTTCATAAAGCTTAACTTGGTCTATTGCATCATTTCTGAGTTATCTTGTTTATTACAGAGCAAACAGGATAACCATAAGAGACCAAAATATGTCCAAATCTCTGTTGAGTCATATTCACATTTGACTGGGCTGGAGGATCAAGTGAAGTCCTTTGAGGAACAAGTGAATACCTTAGAAGATGAAATAGCGGAATTGAATGATAAGTTGTCTGCAGCACAGTCAGAAATGACTAATAAGGAGAACTTAGTGAAACAACATGCGAAGGTTGCTGAAGAAGCTGTTTCAGGTTGGATGTTCCTTATCGACTTACTCTGTTCTTGCTTTAAGTTTTTAAGCAAAGTATCCTCAAATTCCAATATTGATAAATTTCTTTTGTACAGGTTGGGAAAAAGCCGAGGCAGAAGCTTCAACACTGAAAAATCACCTGGAATCTGTCACTCTTTTGAAGCTTACTGCTGAAGACCGCGCATCGCATTTGGATGGTGCACTGAAAGAGTGCATGCGGCAGATACGAAACTTGAAAGAAGAACATGAACAAAAACTGCATGATGTCGTTCTCAACAAAACCAAACAAAATGACAAGATAAAGCATGAGCTTGAAGCAAAGATAGCTAACTTGGACCAAGAATTACTCAGGTCTGCAGCTGAAAATTCAGCACTTTCGAGGTCTTTGCAGGAGCGTTCTAATATGCTCGTTAAAATTAGTGAAGAAAAAGCCCAAGCTGAAGCAGAAATAGAATTGTTGAAGAGCAATATTGAATCACGTGAAAAAGAAATAAATTCTCTCAAATATGAACTCCATATTGCAGCAAAAGAGCAAGAAATTCGTAATGAGGAGAAAAACATGAGTGTACGGTCTGCAGAAGTTGCAAACAAACAACATCTAGAGGGAGTAAAGAAAATCGCTAAGCTGGAAGCAGAGTGTCAGAGACTACGTGGTCTTGTCCGGAAGAAGTTGCCCGGGCCTGCAGCCATGGCCCAGATGAAGCTTGAAGTAGAGGGTTTAGGCCGGGATTATGGAGAAAGTCGGTTAAAGAAGTTTCCAGCGAAGCCTTCAAGTCCACAATACAGCTTGCCAGATTTTTCATTTGATACTATACAGAAGTACCATAAAGAGAACGAGATGTTAACAGAACGCCTTTTTGCAATGGAGGAGGAAACAAAGACGTTGAAAGAAGCTTTGACAAAGCGAAACAGTGAATTACAAGCCTCCAGGAGTCTGTGCACACAGACTGCCAACAAGCTTCAAAGTTTGGAAGCACAAGTGCGTGCAAATGGCGAACATAAAAGTCCTTCAAAGTCCACAGTTCGAATGCCTACAGAGGGTGCCTTTAGTCAAAATGCAAGCCTTCCTCCAAGCTTGAATTCTATGTCGGAAGATGGAAACGACGATAATGTAAGTTGTGCAGGGTCTTGGGCTACAACATTATTGTCTGAGCTCTCGCATATTAAGAAGGAAAGGAGCTTTGATAGTTCGCATAAATCTGAATGTGTAAGTCACATGGAGCTAATGGATGACTTTTTAGAGATGGAGAAATTAGCAAATCTGTCTAATGACATGAATGGAGCTGTTTCAAATCCAGATACAAGCAATGCAAGATGTGAAATTGCAAATATTGATACATTAATTCATGTCACCCCAGGCAATGATTCTCAACTGAAAAATCATAATGAGACAGATCCATCTGAACATCAAGCATCTTCCAGTGAGGAAGCATCAGCTCCTTGCTATAAGCATGCTTCAGAGCCATCCCCTCTCATGAAGCTCCAATCAAGAATTTCAATTGTATTGGAGTCTCTATCTAAGGAGGCTGACATGCAAAAACTTCAAGAGGATCTAAGACAGATTGTTCAGGAGGTCCATGATTCTATCCTTCCCCAATCGGCGAGGAGCATCGTCGAGGCTACAGCCAGTTCTGAGACTGCAAGTGCATCTCAGCTCTCTCCCTATGACCCTAGGGCAAATGTAGAAAAGGACATTCATGTCTCTCAAGATAGTAAATCATGCAATGGAGCTGTTCAAAATATTAGTAAAGAATTATCAGATGCTATGTCTCAGATTCATGACTTTGTTATATTTCTGGGCAAAGAAGCAGAGGCTGTCGATGGAGCATCTCCAGATGGAACTCGTATTAATGAAAAGTTGGATGAGTTCTCTGCCACCTACGTTGAGGTTGTTAGCAGCAGGTTGAATTTGGTGAATTTTGTTCTTGACCTCTCTCAGGTGCTGCGTAACGCGAGTGAATTACACTTCAATATCCTGGGATACAAAACTTCTGAAACAGAAATGAGTACTTCTGATTGCATAGACAAGGTTGCTTTACCAGAAAATAAAGGTCTTCAGCACTCAGGAGGGGGATATTCAAATATTTGTGCTCGTTTCTCTGATTCTTCTTCAGATCCTGACATTCCTAGTGAAGGGAGACTTGTTCCAACTTCAGAGTCAACAAAAACTTCGTGGAAGTGCTCATTGGAAGAGTTTGAACAATTGAAACTTGAGAAGGATAACATGGCTCTTGATCTAACTAAATGTACAGAGAACTTGGAAAGCACAAAATCGCAATTGGTTGAAACAGAGCAGCTTCTGGCAGAGGTGAAGTCACAATTGATATCTGCTCAAAAGTCGAATAGTCTGGCTGAAACTCAGCTCAAATGTATGGTAGAATCATATAGATCACTTGAAACTCGTACGGAGGAGTTGCAAACTGAAGTAAACCTTCTTCAGACAAAAATAGAATGTCTTGATAATGAGCTTCAAGAGGAAAAGAAGAGTCACCACGAAGCTTTAGCTAGATGCCAGGATCTTGAAGAGCAACTCCAAAGGTTAGTAGTGGGTTTATTTTCCCCCGCATTGTGCCTGGAATTAAAAATATGGACTTTCTGGTCTCATATTGATGGTTAAGGTTGAAGTTTCTGACTTTTGCCATATTCTCCAATGCATTAGTTTTATTATGATAGGAGCTTGATCAGACTAATCTTTAATACCTGGACACACTCTTGGAATTTTATCATGCATTTGTAAACTTTCAATTGCATCTCATACATGGACACTAAAAGGAAAAGGGAAAAAAAACATAACATCATGAGACATCCAACTATCAGTAAGTGTTCATTTGGTAGAGAATGGTTAGTAGTAAATTTCTAACCCGTTATTCTTCTCCTGACTGTGATTCTGCTTTTCCTTGGTGTATTGCTAGCTATCTGTAGAATGTAGGACTGGATCACCTAACTGGCCACTACTTATTGGTCCATTTGCTGAATGTGCTATTTCCTGAATCCAAATATCATTGTCCAACTAATCCAGGTTTTGAGGCATAATAATTGTATGAAAGTTGTAATCAATCACCCATAAAAGTTTTATTTTACTTTGAGTACATTAAAAACCATCCTATAGGATTTGTTTTCCTGGTTTCCACTCAAAGTTTTCTGTATGTTTAGGTTATGGTTGCCAATACATATACAGTGAAAGTTCAATGTTAGCTTCACTTTTGTGTATGATTATCACTTTGACTTTATTGCATTATGTTTGCTATTCAAACCAGGATTGAGAGCTGTCCAGCCTCTGACATTGTTGCCAAGACCAACCAGGTAACTGTATGGTTTCTCTTTGAGTTCACTTCATTTTCCAACGTATTGTTTCTGTAATAAATTTGGGATTAAGCTAAAATGAATCCTTTTTTCTCAGTGGACATTTAAAATTTCAGAGCATAAACAATTTTATGAAAGAAACTAACGCTAAATATAGCAGATGGTGAAAAGAACATGATATGTTGATATTAATAAGCCTCAATATCTATACACCAAATTGTTAGACATTATAACATTTAAGTGACTCACATTGCAAAATTATACTAGTTAAAGTACATGATTGTTACTGACGTAACCATTTCAGGATTTTTCGTGTGAACAGTGATTGGCTATTACCTTACTGATGGACATAATTTGGATCCCATGTTTCCTGAGTTGCATACTCTTCAGATTTCTCGGAACATCATACGTAGAAATTATGATCTAATATTTTCATTGTGTTACGAAAAGTGCTGCTGATGTTTTAATGGGAACCTTTTAGGAACTATTACGATATGACATTTTTGCGAGAGGCCAGCCTTAACATCTTTGTATTCTTGGTTGTACTCCTGATTTTGTGGAAGCTTCCAATAAAACACAATCTAATATATCCTAATTTCAGCTGCTAGCCCAGAGTCTTATCTTCTCGCCCCTCCATTGTCATACTTTAATGAGGAAACTAGAATTTGGACTACAAAATAGTTGTCCACTGATTGCATTATTCACAATGTAAATCTTCAAGTTGCCCTGTTCTTGAATTGAATCTTTGTTCAGTTTGCTTCAATACAAAAAGTTGGCCTTTATGATTCTTTCTTGTCTATGCTTTTCCTTCAACTCTTGTATATGCGAGTTTCTCATTTCGAAATTGTACTATTTTCACCTTATAGTCGATATATGAAGATGATGGTCTTTTTTTTTTCTTCCAGGAGAAAGAGTTATCAGCAGCAGCCGAGAAGCTTGCAGAGTGCCAAGAAACCATATTTCTTCTTGGTAAGCAGTTGAAAGCTTTGCGTCCTCAGACAGAGTCGATGGGGTCTCCATGGATTGAGAGAAGTCCAAAGAGGCAGAGTCTGAGTGAAGAACCGACTACGAGTGGTATGAGCTTGCATGATACTGATATGGATGAGTTGGATACTGCCACTTCTGTGAAGACAAATTCTGAATCCCCCATGGATCTATACAATGCTCTGTATAGTCCTTCAGATTCTGAAGTAAACAATCCATTGAGATCACCAATCAGCTCAAAGCATCCAAAACACCGGCCTACTAAGTCAAGCTCCTCATCTTCATCTGGGGGCCCAACACCTGAAAAGCAATCTCGTGGATTCAGCAGATTCTTTTCTTCGAAAGGAAAGATTAGCAATTAGCTCCTGAATCTTGCTTAGCACGTTCGTTTGACAAACCAATAAATAAAGTCCAGAAAGAACGAAGCCTTTATAGATGTTCTCAATTTGCTCCGTTGTAACTTCACACGCCAGAGTTTCCGATCTACTGGAAATTCAAGATACTTGAGCTGTGTTGTGGGATATCCAGCAGCGAGTGGTTTCGCTAGAGTTTGAGGTTAGACGTGTACAAGAAAATCCATTCTCTGGATTGCTGAGAATTGTTATTCTTTATTTCGTGTAGTTGAAGTGCTTAAATGTCTGGGAATTACATGACCAAAAAGCCATTTTTCCTTTGTATGAGGATGCTTTGTGACTACTGTAAAATTATTTTTTGTATGCATGATGTATAAGATTTGTAGAACTTGTTANAAAAAAAAAATACTGGTTGCGGCAGACTTTTCACAAACAAGTGGTATTTCTTTTGTTCCAAAAGGAATGCCAGAATTTAGAGTACAAGGTGAAAGAATCTTATTTCGTATGAATTCAAACATCGATTTTTCAAAATATGTGAAAGTTGTTTTACAAAAAACTGTTTTACTGAAGCTCCATAACGTAATACTATTCTACGTTTGGTTGGAAATGATATCTGTTTGCACATAACACAAGTTAAGCAGCAAGGTGTTCGAGTGATAGCCATGTAGCAAAGATAAATACATAATATCTACCCGGTTACTATAATTTAGAAGAAACGAAACTAGTAACAGATAAAATGACTCTTTGAGTCCTTAAAAGAAGCAAACTACTGCAACAACAACCGCCCAGTAAAATCCTACCAGTGGGGTCTCAGGAGGGTAGAATGTACGCAGACCTTACCCCTACCCCAGAGGGAATAGAGAGGCTGTTTTTGGGAGACGCTCGGCTAAGAGACAATAGATCTGTGACAACAAAATCCGAAAAATAATATCAGCAACGTGAGAGACAACAAATAAATGAAAAACAGTAACACAAATATTATGCAAAAGTGTGAAACACAACATAAATCGCTAGCAGGACTAGACAAAACACTATCATACTCGTCGGTACAAAGGGGAAAACCGCTCGACTACCCTTAACCTACAACCCTAATGCTCGACCTCCACACCTAAGAGCCATATCCTCGAAAATCTGGAGTCGCACCATGTCCTGTCTGATCACCTCGGCCCAATATTTCTTAGGCGGCCCTCTACCTCTTCTCGTACCTGCCAAAGCCAACCGCTCACACCTCCTAACCGGGGCATCTAGGCTTCTCCTCTGCACATCCGAACCATCTAAGCCGCGCTTCCCGCATCTTGTCGTCCACTGGAGCCACCCCCACCCTCTCCCGAATATCTTCATTCCTAATCTTATCCAGCCTAGTGTGCCCACACATCCATCTCAACATCCTCATTTCTGCTACTTTTATCTTCTGGATATGTGAATTCTTGACTGGCCAACACTCAACCCCATACAACATGGCCAGTCTAACCACCGCTCTATAGAACTTACCTTTGAGTTTCGATGGCATATTCTTGTCACAAAGGAATCCATATGCTAACCTCCATTTCATCCACCCCACCCCAGTACGGTGCGTAATATCCCCGTCGATCTCCCCATCACTCTGGATAGTTGATGCTAAGTACTTGAAACTTTCTCTCTTGAGGATGACCTGTGAGTCAAGCCTGACTTCCGCATTTACTTCCCCTATCACGTTGCTGAACTTACATTCCTCATATTCCGTCTTAGTCCTACTCAACTTGAAACCTTTAGACTCCAGGGCCTGCCTCAATACCTCCAGTCTCCCATTAACGCCGCATCGCGTCTCATCAATCAGAACTATATCATCAGCGAAACCATGGCTCCTCTCCTTGGATATGATGTGCTAGTGCATCCACCGCCAGGACAAATAAGAACGGCATGAGCGCAGATCCTTGGTGTAACCCCATAACTACCGGAAAAGGCTCTGAGTCACCTCCCACAGCCTTAAAAGAAGCAAACTATTTTTCTGAATTGATGTGAATAATTTTCCAGTTTAGGACTACTAAATGGTGACAGAAATTTGATGGAAAAGTAAATTTCTTAGGTCTTTCATTTTGAGGGCAGCAAAGACATCAAATTTATTTCCTAATAATTTTCCAAGAGGTTAGAAAATCTAAAATGGGGGCACTGCCTATTGACCAAGTAAAATGTGAGGATCACTTGAAAGTTATCCCACTGGAGCTGATGTATCTTATTGTATTCAGATGCATGCACAAACACACCCAATTTACACCAACTATTACTGATAAAATTGGAAGCGTGAAGCTATGGTGAATGAAGGTGTTAAAAGACAATAAGGTAGACTTAATTAAAATCACTTAGAAAGAAATTGTCTCCAAGGACCTACAATTGCCAAGGATCCATGCATATTTAGCAAAAAATAGGGCACAAGAAAGAAAAAGATTTGTGTAGGTAGATATATATTACTTGAGAATATGTTTTAGACTTTAGCACTTTTATTTTAGGTCTTATATTCTTTAGAACTGGTTTAGTCTTTTAGAGATTTATAACTTTAGAAAATATACAGAACTTTTAATACTTTTCATTTGTAGTTGCACAATATTGACATGAGATGATTTAAATAAAGTAACGTGGAAAGTTATATAACCGACCTCAACTTATGTGGGATAGAAGCATAATAGTTGTTGTTGTTGTTGTTGTTTATTACTAATATAATTGTATAATAGGAGTAACACTTTACATATGCAGATTTAAATTTTGAATGTCTTAGATCTTCTGGTTGAATTTGTGAGTGGTGGAATTTGAATTTGACTTTCTGCACTTGTAGAGGATGTCAATTAAGAAAGGAAGAAATGTTAATTAGTCAAATCTTCAACAGATCATTATGCTTGTATGCAGTTACCAATAATAGTGGGTTCATGGATTCCCTGGGCCATACCTCGAAATAATTGCATAGCTGTGCATTGTTATGGGCTTCAAAAACCTGATGGACAACAGCCTGTGCATATTCGTATCACATTGGGGTCAATGATACAAATGGCTTTAAAATGGGGATTTTTACCTAGCTACACTCTATTAAAAACTTATTTACCAATATTCTCTATGTTTTGTAATTTTTAATAAAGTATCTAGATTTTTCTAACAAATTATGTAGATTGCTCCTTAAAAGGCTCTCACCTCATTATTAGTGACTTCAATTAAGGGATCCAATTATATCCTTTCCTTTTTTCCCCTCTCCTCTTCTCTCTCCTTCTTTTTTTACAACCAAATCCCTTTATCTACGCTCAGAATCTCCATCTTCTCTCTTCCTACCATTGCCGATAGCTTTATATTATTAAACAATCAATTGTATCGTTCTTCTATTGGGAGACCGGACAACACTGAAAATGAAGAAATATTCAGCAATTGTATGATAATTGTATCATAATTGTATTTAAATTATATCAGATACATCAATACGTAAAACATAATTGTATCATACTTGTATCACAATTGTATCTAACTTGTAGATGGAACCTTAATATCCAAAATAATACCTGATACAGTACTAATAAATTAATATATAACTATCATATATTTGTTATACAAACTGTGAAATTCATCACGAACTCACAACTGCTCATAATTAAGATACAAATTTAATATAATCTTGAAAAAATTCTTACACAATTCTGATACAACTTAAAATCGACTCTAACTTAAATTGATACAATATCATATTATACTTGTATTAGTATTGTATCATGTATTATTTTTGGTACAAATTGTGATACAATCGTGATACAATTCTAAATTATGATATAACTTTTGATCTTCATCTTTTTCAAGTTTTAATTTAAAATATCCACCTAGAACCAACCCTAAACTTAAATTGTGATAAAATAATGTATTTTAATAGTATTAGTATTGTATCAAAATTGTCTTAGGTATTGATGTATCAAATACAACTCAGATACAATTATGATACATTTATCATACAATTGTAATACAATTCCGAAACTTCTTCTTCCTTGAATTTCAATCAGAAATTCAACCTAAAACCAATTTTAAACTTACACAATCTCTCTTCAAATTAAGATATAAACTCTAAAGGATATTTTCAATTGTTTTCAAGAACACTCAATCCAAAGAAATCACAAATTCGTAAAATTCGAATATCTAATTCAAAATTTCGAACCTTTTTAATGGTATGTCAATGGCATGCATCTCTACCTGCAATTTCAGAGATAATGCCGATAGATTTGTTAATAGTTGAAGCTTTTTAATGGTTGTTGGTGGAATTAATTCAGAGATATATATGATGCTACAATTTTAGAGAGATAATAGTTTGATTTGTATGAGAGAGAGAGAGATATTGGTGGATTTGTATGAAAGAGAAAATGATTTTAATTTTTTTTGAAATTAGGAAGAAAATCGTGATTTTAGGAGGCTAAAGCTGATAGATGGGGATGAGAGATACATTACAAATTAATTTTTATATTTAAGGGATCCTTCTTTTATTATATTTTGTACATAAATAGTAAATATAGATACACAATGTAATTCTTAAGGAACCTAAAGAAAAGTGGTTAATAAGTTTCTAATATAGTGTAGCTAGGTAAAAATCCCTTTAAAATGAGTTTGTCTTAAACTTTTGAACTTCGGGGCTGAGTCACGTAAAAATAGCATGGTATAGCCAGTTTTCGGACTGGTCATTCAAAAATAGCCAGCGTTTACCAAGTCAATGAAAAATAGCCACTATTTTGCTGCAACAAAGACCTATCCAGCATAATATACTGGAGTTCGGTACACCTGTGTATGAACCATATTATGCTGGACTGGTATACTTTGTTGGCTCCAGTATAATATACTGGAGACTGGAGCACCGGTGCTCCAAACTCCAGTATATTATGCTGGACCGGTATACCTGCTGGAACTCCAGTATATTATGCTGGAGTTCTAGTGTACTTATGCTGGAATTCCATCATATTATGCTGGAGTTCCAGCATACTCATCCTGGAACTCCAGTATAATATGCTGGAGTTCAAGTATACTTATGCTGGAACTCCAGCATAATATACTGACGTATTTTCCGGGTTTTGAACAGTGTTTTCGCTCAGATTTATCTTTACATAAAAAGTGGCTAAATTTTGATTACTTTGGAAATTGAGCTATTTTTGTAAATTTCTCCCCTGAGTCACTGGGTAAAATTTCAAGTTTAACGGGAGAAAACTTTTGATTTTTGACCTTGATGGTTTGCTCACATGCCTCAAAGGCCAAAAGTTAAAGAGCACCCCCTTGTGATGTCTTATTTCTGGCATTTTCTGCACACATTGTCCCTACATGGGCTTATTCCTCAATGTTTTTGTAGTGGACTTCATACATTAATTCATTTTAAGCCTGTTTGACTTGCATTCGAAGTCTAGCTCGCTGC